AACCGGTTACCGGCAGTCCGTGACCGAGGAGGGCTGCAGGAAAGAGGCGTTGGGCAACTGCTTGAAGAAGTGCCGGAGGCTAGTTAAGTCCCGGCTGAGCTGCTCAATCTTCTTATGCAGCCGCTCGTTCTCGGCCGAGAGCTCGACCAGTTTCTGCTGCATCTCTTGGTTGCGGCGCTTCGCTTTGTCGCGGCTCTTGCGCACCGCGATGTTGTTGCGCTCCCGCCGCTGCCGGTACTCCGGACTGAACCTGTCCACGCCCTTTTTGCCCGCCCGCTCTTTGGACCCCGACGACGACGAAGCAGAAGAGCGGCTGCTGTAGCTGGACGGCGAGGCGCTTCCCGGAGGCTCGGGGGAGGTGGGCGGCGTGGGCTGCCCGCTCAAGTTGACAATGGTTTGGGCGCAAGTAGCAATCTGGGACGGCAGCAGCGAGCCCGATGCCTCCTCGCCCCAGTCTGGCTCTTGCTTGACGGCGACCCGGAGCGGGCCCGGGAGGACGCTGGCGTGCAACAGGCTGGCCAAGGCGCTCCCTCCGGACGCTGGCGGAGGCGCCTGTGGCGGCGGCGGCAGGTAATCCCCGTAGCCCCCGCTGCGCTCGCCGCCCTTGTGGTTGCTGTTGAAGAGGTCGGCGAAGAGCTCGTCGTTGCACAGCTCCAAGTTCGGCACGGCCGCCATGGAGTCAATATAGGAGCTGAAGTCGATGGCGCTCTCGTCCTCGTACATGGCCGGCGCGGCGGCACTCAGCTCCGCCAGGTCGCGGCTGCCGCTGCTCGGAGCAGAGCACATCCCCCCGGCCTCCTCGCTCGCCTGGGCGACACTCACGCTGCCCGCCTTGCAGGAAGGACTCAGACCGCCGCCGCCTTCACCCGCCTTGGCGTCGTAGAAGTTGGCGGGCTCCAGGGACCAGGTTCGGTAGCACGAAAGCGAGTCCAAGGGGTCCAGGGTGGCCGCGCTCATGGCAAACTCTCGGGTCGGCGAGGGAAGCGAGAATTCAGGGGGAAGGTGAAAAGCTTAAGTGGCCGTCGCTGCGGCTCGTTCCTTGACCTGTGGCCCCCCAGACGTTTCTCGCCCCCGACGTCTCTCAGGCTTTCGGACTGGCACGCTGTGCTCACGACGCTTGAGAGGCCGAGATGGTACACGTGCGTTTGAAAAGGAAAACCTGGCGGCGAGGTGCCGCCGCCGCCCTTTATATCGACATCGCTTCTCGGACCCCACCTCCTTGCCCTGACGGCGGAGGGTGTGGCTGGAGAAGTCCCGGGAGGTGGAGGCTGCGGGTCTGGCTCCGTGCGCCTCTCGGCCTCGCTGCCAACGGGGCGGTTGGAGGAGAGGCAGCTGCTGGGATTGGCCTGCAAAACCCGGACCTCCCCCGCTGCTTTGCCACCTTTGATCGGGACCGGGAAGCCAACTTAGGAGCGGCCTTTACCCCCCCCCCCTCTTTCGGGAGATAAAGACCGACGTCCTTCGAGTGGCCAGGACGGCGGCTCTGCTCAGATGGCCGCCGCCTGCCTTGGCTCAAGCCGTGGGAGCGAAAGGGCAGCTCGCCGGTCCGTCACTCTTCGGCTGGTTCCGGACTTGGAGGGCTTTCTGGGCTGAGGCAGCCAAGCAACCGGGAAAGAGAGCCCCTCCTCAGAACAACCCAGGCCACTCAGTATAATTGGGAGGTAGACCCTTCGCCCGAAAAGCCCGACATTACTTGGGTTGGCAAAATACCCCACCCAACCCGCTCCCAAAGCAATGAGCCTTTCGTCCACCTAATATAACCCGTGTGTCTGTGTGGAGGTTGGGGTGTGAAAAATGGAGCGAAAGCTGTGAAAAGCCCGATCCTTACTGTGGCTGCGCTGGGGGGGTGGAAGAGGGGGGACGGCGGCAGAGAATGGGGTCGCTTTCTGATAGCCATCCTGCCCTTTTACACCTGGCTTTATAGACGGCTCAGCTCTTGATCTGATGGAGAGGACTCGACCACCTTTCTGAGAAGGTGGGGAAAGAGTGTTGAATGCTAGTTTTACGTGCCCCGTGCTGTCTGTGCACACAGTCCCATTATGGCCCTGCTAACGCCTTGTATGTATGGTTTTGTAAGCTCTCTGAAATGACCAAGTTGTTAGTCTCTGCTCAGAATCTACAAGCTCTATACTTCAAGTCCCAGAACTCCCAGTCAGCATACACTAATCAGGACTACACATTTGATTGCTTTGATGGAATCGATAAACCCGCTGATAACACACATGTGGACATTCTGAAACACATCAAGCATAGATCAAGACGTGCATCTTGATGTTTGAGTTAATTCAGACTCACTTTAAAAAAGAAACACTTGCCAAATCTTTAGTAAACTAGTTCATTTGTACCATTTTATCAGATAT